TTATGAAATTGGAAAAACTTTTAAGTTTATCAGATCAATTGATACTGATGAAAATATTAGAAGAGTTGATATCTGTAACAATAGTGGAAGGATTGTTATGTTTGGTAAAAATAATTCTGTTGAAATGGAAGACGGTGGGAAACAAATGAATTTTTTTCATAAAAATGAGATTATTGACATAAAGGTTATTAATGATGAAGTATTTACACTTTCTAAAGATAAGTTGTTGATATGGTCATTTAATGATGATCAATTGTTTATTACAACCAAGATTGATTTAGTTGGTGGTATTTGTTTTGTTGTTGTGGGTGATGAAATTGTTATAGGAACGGATTCTAATTTAATTTCTATAAATAGAAATTCGTTTGATAAAAATATTTTATTAGAAAATAAAATATACTCTTTAGCAGTAAATAAGAATCATATAGCAGTTTGTTCTAAAGAAATAATATTTTATAATTTTGAGTGGAAGGAAATTAATAGACTTACACCTAAAGATACCGTTACTTATTCATCATTTTATGGAACTAGTTTATTTGCTTTTTCTTGTATGGATTCTAAAATTTATGTTTATTCATATCCAAATTTAGATTTAAAATTCACCCTTTATGGTCACTCATTACCAATTAGATCATTTAAGTTTTCTCCTAATGGTACTTTATTGACCTCTTGTGGTGCCGATAAGTTAATTAAAGTTTGGGGTATGGACTTTGGTGAGTGTAGGAAGACATTTATTGGTGATTCATTAAATGTTGAGTATTTTGATGATGAGTTGTTTCTTTATTATAATGATGGAATTATTTATAATAGGAAATTTTCTAAATTAAGAAAATATAAATCATATGAAAGAGGATTGATTGCTGTTAATGATGATTTTATGATTATTACGACTAATCAGGGATTGGCTTATTACTCCATTGATGAGGCTGGATTAATAGAAGGGGAAGAAGATGATGATGAATTTGATAAAGTTATATTAAAAGAAGGATTGATTATGGATTTAAAGGGGTATGAACGATTTGTAGGTTATTTAGAAAGTATTGAAGAGAATAGTAACATACTTAAAGGTGAATTTTATAACTTTCTAGTAGGTTTAGACTTATTAGAAGTTCTTAATTATATTTCATTACTTGATGTCACTAGTATAAAAATTATATTAAAGGAATTAGAAGAAAACATAGATGTGAACATAATATTTAATACACGTGTGTTTATTAAATTATGTGAATACCACGAGGAAATAGTTAAATCTTATGAAAATTATGAACAAATTAAAATGGGATTAATTGAACGTGTAAGCAAAATTAGGAATAAAACGGGTGAATTATGTTTTAAGACTAAAATGTTTACTAATTTTATAGAATAAAATACATTAAGTACATATTTAAGGTAAAACAAAAAACAAACATTTAATACTTAAAAATTTATTGATTTTGTTTCCAAAAATGGCAACAAATGACAAAAATGAAGATAATAAGAAAGGTGGAGAAAATGATAAAGATAAGAAAAACTCAATTTATTTTGATGATAAAGGTAATGACAAAGAAGTAAAAAATAAAAATAAGAAAAATAAGGAAGAAGAAAAGAAAAAAGAGGGAGGCTGGAAAAATTGGTTTTATAACGATGTTGATGGTGAAGATAATGATGGTAGTGGAAATAAAGAGAAAGGTGCCAAAAAACAAAATGAAAAGAATGATGAAAAGAATAATAAGAAGGACGATTTAAAATACGGAGATAAGAATGATAAGGATGATAAACAGAAAGATGGTTTAAAATATGGAGATCAAAAGGGTGAAGAAGGTAAGAAAAAAGAAGATAATTTAAAATACGGAGATCAGAAAGATACAGAAGATAAAAAGAAAGATAATTTTAAACAAGGTGATCAGAAAGATAAGACGGTAATTTAAAGTATGGAAATCAAAAAGATAATGATAACAATATTAAAGGTAAAGATGGTTCAAAACAGGGTGATCAAAAAGGTAATGATATTTTAAATCAGGGTGATCAAAAAGATAGTTCAAATCAAGGTGATCAAAAAGGTAAAGATAGTAATTTAAAAAAAGATTTAAATCAAAGAAATCAAAAAAATGATGTTATTGATAAAAAAGAAAATATTAATAATCAAAATAAAGATACAAAAACAAATGAAAATAAACCAAATGAAGGAGAAGATGAAGAAATTTCTTCTAAGTTGATTA